TCCTGAAGAAAGCTGTTGTCAGACTGATTTTTTCTTGGAAGAGGCTGGGCTCAAGAGTCACCAAGGAAAGTCCACGTCAGTGTGACCTGAGAGGAAGTTACAGAGCTCAAGAGCATTATGTAGCCTAGAAACTAGAATGTTAGTGACCTTGCAAGGTATTTCAGAAAAAATTTTATGTATGCAAAAAGAGGGCTGATGTATCACTGTGATGATAAAACAGTGGTTTCTAAAACAGTTTTACTCTGAATTCTGAAGCAACAAGGAATAAAAGAAAGACAACAGATAGCAAGAATTTACCTTTTTTTGGAACTGATCTTGAGGGAATGTTAGTTAAATCCTCCCCAAGATTGCCTGGACTGGATGCAGCTACCTAGGGCAGAACAACAGAGCAGTGGAAAGGTCTGCTAGATTAGGAAGTGTTTCCCAGGGTGGATTTAAAAGCATCTTCCGAAGACTAGGATGCTCACATTTAGGCCCTTCCTTGCTTCCTCCTATCATTTTCTGTGTTCTTTGTCTATTGTCTGTTCTCTCATTTGATTGTAATCGGATTTGAAGGCAGGGGCTATGTCTTACTCATCTCCGTATCTTCTTTCTTCAACCCTGGCTGTCTGACAGTGTTTTGCTTATATGTAACCCATTTTTGTTTGTTAAATAAAAATATAGTTAAAGGCAAATACAAATACTAATTCAAATACTATACAAATTCTCCAATGTTCCAATTGCTATGGAGAAAATGATGGGAGATTGTTAGGTTTGTGTAGTGAACAACTTCCTATTTTTGATAGAATGAGTAGTATATTTATATCTCAAGTGCAAATAAAAGTTACTCTAAAGGATTTTGATGTTTTGTGTCTTATCGCAATATATGTAAATAAAAGTGAATCTAGAAAGGGTCAGTGGAGTTACTTTATGTAAGGAGAATAGCCCTAACGATAACTATCAATACCTTAAAGTTTCCATGTAAGTCAGTTGCATAAAATGTTCTCCATTTTCATAGCTGCTGCTAACAGAATTAGACTGATGATGCATATAGGCAACAGTATCTGTGAATGATACCATTATATGACATCATTGTTTCTTTCTTTTGTCTTTCTTTTATCCCAACCAATGAAATACTATACACATTCTTCTCCACTTTGCTTCTTTCTTGTTTTAGATCCTTTCATGTTAGCTCATCAAAAGATTCTGATTTTTTTTCAAAGGGTTGTATGGGTGTGTGCAAGTTTATAAGCGATTGTATCTTGTTCCAGGCACTCGCACTCTTTGGACCGTGCTGGCTTCCTGGTAGGCCTGTTAAGAGGGGGCATGAGAGACTGGAATGCTCTCTTGCTTGCTTTCCTCTCAGCAGCACCTTAACCGGCCTTGTGCTCCCCGTGGCAGTTGGTTGCACTCTCCAGTTTTCCCTTTCTTTTTTGTTGCCCCCAGAGGCAGCCTCATTTTGTCTCCTCAGAGGTACCAATATCTGCTGGGCAGCGACCCTTCTCAGAGGTCTGACAAACTCTGAGGACTCTAAGGCAAGCTTCTACATTCCAGTGACCTCAACATTTTCCCCTGTTCCTTCAGTCTCAGGGGGTGTGAGCTGCTTTGTGGAATTGCCATCCTTTCTTAGTGTTTGAAAGTTCTCCAATAACTCATTAACTGATACCTTATATTAAGTTTTCTTTGTTGAAGTGCTTCTGGTAGTTTCTGTTTTCCCAGCTGGACCCTGATGGATATAGTACTTGATACCTGGATCTGCTGTGTCAGAAGCCCAAGGAGCAGAACCTTCCACTGCCACCTGAACTTGCTGCTCAGTGTGTTTTTGCTCTGGGCCCTGGAGGAATCATAATGTATTTAACTAGTCCCCTGTAGATGGGACTTTAAAGTTTTTTCCAATTTTTGTTACTGCAAACAATGCAGTGAACAACTAAATAAATAATATTTTTCACATATGGGCAAATATATAGGTAAGGTAAAGTTATAAAAGTGGAATTGCTGGGTCAAAAGGATTGCCAAATTGCCTACAATCTCTTACAGGCAGAAAGCAGAAATCTATTTGCATGATAAATGGAGAAATCAGCAAAGGGAAGAGGGAGCCAGGTATGGCACCTCGTCCCAGTAAGAAGCCTTAGCAGTTGGAAGAGAGAAGCACAAAATGAGATCACCTGAGGAATTATTTTCTGGCCTAGAGTCCATGGCCTTCCCTTAGGAGAGGGAGGCTAAACAAATGGAAAAAATCTCCAAGACAATTTGATTGTCACTTAATAGAGATTAACACAAAACAGGGAGAGAGGTGCTTAGCCACAGATCACCAACAGAGGTGGGCAGTCTGACCTCATTCTGCACCCAGTGGAGCCTAGTACCCAGCCAATGTGGCCACTACCTAGCAGGAAGAGTGACACCTACAACTGTGTGGCCATTGGAACAAGTGGTAGTGTTGTGGTGGGAATACTCATACGTGGTAGCTGTAAGTTATGTGAGGCACCTCCTAGGGACATCCCCAAACACTTAGGTGGAACTTTGTAGGATACTGGGTCTTTCCTGCAGTAGCAGGAAGTGTAAGGGCTGGTAAAACACAGGCTACAAACTCCCATTTACCAAGGTTGTCCCTTTTTCCATGTCTACATCTTTGTCTCTTAAACCGAGGTAGGCTTTTGCTTAAAAACAACAAAGTAAAATATTATTCTTCTTAGAGTGGTTATAATACAACTCCGCAAACTCAAGTTGCGACTAAGTTACTTTTACTGTTGCTGTTCTTGCCATTTATTACCTGCTCAGGGAACTCTACTGCAGTTATCATTGCCCTGGGGTAGCAGACAGGCCACGTTCTACATGCTTGCTTTTACTGATATCACCTTAGCCTTATGTGGCAATAAAGCAGGGTGTCTAACCAGAGCTGTACCTTTCCTACCCTCTGTAAGATCTGGGCTGCTTTACTGCAGAGGACTTTTGTTTTATGTTCCATTGAGTCTTGTTTGTGCCATTCTTAATTTACACGACAGAAATGCTGTCATCACCAATTAACATTTATCAAGGGCCCCCTGGATACAGGGCCGCATAGGGACTAATTTAATATTCTCTTTGTTTCAGATAGCAGGTGGCTCCTTCAAATGAATTTTTAAATATCTCAGTGATGATGAAGAACAGAGACATCAATTAGGATTCAGGAAGACAAACCTTTGCAGAAATGCTTAAAGGAGAACATCAAGGATTGCTATTAATATTTGAAAGTTTAAAATACTTTCTTCCAGTCAACAAATGACAAAAGTGAAAGAAAAGCACTGTTTTCACTGTTCCTGGAAGAAGCCTGGCAGTCTTTCATTTAGACATCTGCCCTTTGATTGTCCCATTTTCCTCTTTACTTACTTCAGTTCTTCTAATTTTCAAGGCTGAGTCTGAATATTTCTTCCTGAGGCTTTTTCTAATCACCTCTGCCCTAAAGGATGACTCCCTCCTCCAACTCCTATAACCCTTGTCATTTATGCCTCTCATTTGGAAATTTAGCACATGATAAATTAGACACTGATTTATTTTTGAATAAATACATGTTCATTCTCCCCAAGTATATTAGACAACTGTCTGGATAATTTATTTCTTTCCCATCCTCAGGGACAGCAGTGTCCTGTCAATGGCAGGACCTCAAGAAATGTTTATTGGTGATGGCAGCTATTAAAATCAGAATTTTATTTTTAAAAAAGGGTGAAGGAGAGACAAGGCTGATGTTTTGGAAGTTGAGACTCATAAGTATTATTAATGTTTTCTAACCTAGGAGTTCCGCGCACATCTTTTTTTGGCGGGGGGGGGAGGGTAGAGGGAGCAGTGGGGGGAGATTGTGAGAGGCAAGAACATCACTGGAAGTCAGACGTCCATCTTGCGAGGTTCAGTTAAAAAAAAACTTTTTTTGGCCTGCCTGAACTATGCTTACTTTTTCTGAACTATGCCTATCCCTTTCGGTGCGACAGTAAGTAGTGTAACGTGGCTGTCGGTTTAAGAACCGCTATTCAGGAGAACAGACCTGAACATTTTCATTTCAGAAAGACAAAACCTTCGGTTCCGTAGTACATTTTGGAATGATGAACACACCTTCATGTTTTACGACGTCAAGAACCTGGCCCGGCTAAGGCGGGGACGCGCGAATCCCACCAGCACGAAGACCCATTGTTGCTCGCGAGCCCGAGAACCGGGAGCCATGGAACGCTCGCCAAGACGAAGCTCCCGCGGGGCCCCGCCCACTGCGGCTCGTGGAGCCTCATTGGCCGGCCTTCCGCCCGCCATCTCTGTCAGCCCACGGTCCGGGCAAGGGAGGCGGGAGTCCCGCTTTCAGGCAAGATTGGTCAGCCTGAAGGACGGCCGTGGTCTCCCAAGTCTGTATTGGTTCTTAGACTTCAAAATGGGCGGGGAAAGGCGGAGCGACGGGGCACAAGGCGGGAAGCGCGGAATGCGCCGGCGCGTAGTCGGGGACGCCGGGCCGAGGCTTTTGCTAGGGAACCGGCTGTTGTCGCCCCGCCCCCCCCCCAGGGCTTTTTGTCCCGTTAACTGTCGGAGTGGCGAGGTCTGCAGCGCCGGGCGACATGCCGGTGCGCTTCAAGGTGAGGCCGGGGGTCTTCGGACCCGAAGGCAGCTCGGGGGACCTGCGGCGGGGCGGGTGTGGGGCGCGGGGGCCTCGGTGGCTTTCTGTGCCGCGCCCTTCCGCCCCGCAGAGCCTGCCAGCCACGCTCCTGGAGGATACCTTCCCCTCTGCTCGCTCCCTCTCTGCTCACACACACTCCTGAATTGTAGTGTGGAAGAACTGGTTGATGTTGAGAGATTTTTCTGGAGGGCGCAGAGGAGTGGTCACGGAAGGAGGGCACTTCCTAGTGGGAACTAAGGTGGCTTCAGATTGGGACACCTGTGGCCTTCCCACAGCCCCGTCCCCCATCTTACCTTTAAAACTTTAAAGTGCATGTGTCTTTTAAAGGTTTGAGAAATGGGATCTTGGCAAGATAAAGACAAGGTATAAGAAATACACATTTTTCATAGTTGTGCATTTGTTAAGCGTTTGTTGAAAGTTCCACGTTGCTGGTAGCAGTCAGGGTCAAGCACCCTTCAACCCAACAGTTGACCACAGGTTCCACAGACCAAAACTGTCTTACCGTCTTAAGGGCTTGTATCAGAATGGGAGGGAAATTTGTCTTTCTTAGGTTGACTTCAAAGTAGTTTGAAAGGTACTAGGCATAAGAGATAATACTGTGTGCTCAGTGAGAACTTAATTAGTTGGAATAATTATGGTTATGAGGATTTAGATTGTCAACGTCAGGATTTGGAATCAGACATCCAGGGCAATGGTAGCCACTCTGAGCCTCAGATTCTGCTAGCATCTGCCTCAAGTGGTTGTGAGGATTAAAGGATGTAGCATGTGAACTGCTTAGCACAGGGCTGCATAAATATTAGCTGTTATGAAGGAGGTCTTCTCAGTTTAATTCTCAGTGTGAAGTCTTTGAATTCTCTTTAGTGGTTCAGAAATTATTTTTACTGATGTCTTCTTTAAAACAACCTTCATTAATTGTATTGTACTCAAATTGTATTTTGCATTACAGGGGCTCAGTGAATACCAGAGAAACTTCTTGTGGAAAAAGTCGTATTTGTCAGAGTCCTATAATCCCTCAGTGGGGCGAAGGTATCCATGGGCTGGGCTTAGATCAGATCAATTAGGTAAGTTAACAAACTCATAGTTTATAACTTGAAGAAACCTTCAGATTAAGTTTGCAAAACGATTTCTTAAAACATTGTGAGGCATTGTTTAATTGGCATTGTTCAATTAGACTTACTCTTTTTTCTTTTAATAAATATTTATTGAGGGTTTACTATTGGCCAAAGACTATTCTGAGCTTCTAGGGATATAGCCAAAAACCCATAACAGTGGGAAAAACCAGTAAACAAATAACTGAATAAATAAACTAGGAGATTTCAGGTTGTTATAAAAAATGTAGACTAGTGTGCTGGATAACTTGGGGGATGGGTGGATTGATGGATATTGAATATACTTTAGCTTGAATAGCCAGAAAAGGCCTTTCTGAGGAGGTGATATCTGATCCAGGACCTGAAAACTGAGAGTAGGTACCTGGGGAGGAATACTTCCAAGGTCTTAAGGAACAGTTGCTTGCATAGGTTAGGTAGTTTGCTCAATGTTCACAGCTAGTAAGTGGCAGAGCCTTGATTTGAAATCACGTCTGTTTGTTCAAAGCCCATGAGTTCAGAGGCCACATTCTTGTCAACACACATACTTCCTTCTGTGTCCCAGGGAAGTCAGAGTGCTAGGCCAAGGTTTCCCAGAGCATGGCAGAGGGGCAAAGAGACAGATTGATTTTATGCTACCTGCTTGTTTAATTTTCCTTCACTAGAATATGAGATCTCAGAGCAGAACTCTGTCTATCTTTCCCACCCTGTTCCTGCTCAGTGTGTGACACAGGGCGTAGACAGACTCTAGAGCTTACTGAAACTAGTTTTTGAATGAATGAATAAACCTGAGTTGGAACTCTACATTAGCTGTGTGAGCTTGGGTAAATTGGGCCTCTTTCAGTAAGTGGGATATAGCAAGCCCATTGCACAGGATTGCTGGGAGGGATTAAATGAGATGCTGCCTGTTAAGGGACAGGCGCACATATACAGATTGGTGCTTGGTGTCCCTCAAGTGACGTATGTGCGAGTGCCTGATGTGTGGTATGTAAAACCCTCAAACGTTAGATGTTTGAAGCTAGGAAGTAAAAAGGCTTATGGGAAATAAACATTATTTTCCAAACTTGAAAATCAGTACAATGAGGAGAATATTTCCAGGATTAGGAAACAGAACAAAAGGAAGAGTGGGTTGGAATGGGTGACTCTTGTAGGGTTCCTATGTAGTATCAGGATCCTTTACCTGGAGCCTGACCTCAAAGACTGGGTGTCCGTGGTCAGGGTGATTGATGCTTGGAATCCTCTCCAAATGACGAGAAAGTCCACAAATCTGAGGCTGTATCAGATTAAGAATTCCATATAAATTGTTCTTAAAAACGTAGAATATCCTTCTGAGGGCCTAGTCTAATATTATGACACTGGGGAATTGGTAAAATAGATAGTTGTCTCCATAACATTTTAGCTTAGATCAGCTACATTTGAGGATAAGGGTAATGAAATGAGGCTGAGGGAGCAAAGCCACTTAGGAGGATGGTGCATTAGGAAAGCAGGAATAGTCTAGGTGAGCATGTCAATGGGGACATCAGGTGTGGGGCGGGGCAGAGTGAGAACTCCAGGATGTCCCGAAAGGGAGGTGGGAGGCCAGCAAGGAACAGCAGCGGTTTTACCTCAGACTGGCCGGATGTTCTGTTAACATGGTGTATTTTTTCACCACACTATATTTTTGCTGGTGCTGGGAGATGAGGGCAGACCACTCAAGAATCTTTCGTCGTTTTGCTCTTCTACCAGAAGCCCCTGTCTGTATTAAAGCAGAGAGAAGTCTGGGGCAGTGGTCTTTAAACTTCTTTGCTGTTATATCCCCTAAAAGAATTTAGAAAGTCTTTGTATTCCTTTGCATTTTTAAGTTGATATTTAATTTTTTTAAATCGTAAGTGTAACAAGTAGTTTCAAAGGATGTGGTTTCTGGTATATTGACTATTGTGTCTGTGTGAAACATATTTTGTTAAAACTTTGGAGCTTCCAGTGTAGCTCATTCAATTTATGGTAAATGTTTATCATATAATCAGTGAAGTCAGTCCTCCCTGTCAAGTTAATGAGGCAAGGGTAGAGTTATTTTCTGTGGAAAAAAAAACTCTTTAAGTTTATTTTTCAGTTCAAATAAATGTGTTAACATGCATATGTGTATTTCACATGACAGCCCTCTTACACTTGAATTTTACTTCTCAGATAGATGGGGACGGTTTGGAGCTAGGTGAAATAAGGTACTGGTCCTCTGTTATTTCTAATCTCTACCTTCTTTGCTTTGTTGTCAAATACTCTCCCCCGGGAGTTATGGTTTATGAATTGTCCCTTTATTTGTCCTCCCCACCTCTGAGATTTTTAAAATTCTATGGAGCTGGGTGAGAGGCGTATTTATCTTTTGTGAATTGGGAAAAGGCTGAGTATGAAAGGAGCTGTGGGAGATGACTACTGCAGATGGCGGACACAGCTCTAGGCAGACCAGTGTCAGGAACTAGCACATATGAAAGTGAGAATCTGGAAAATTATTCCCTTAAGTGGCTTATTTCTGTTTACCCCCCCTGGAGTATCTTTGTGTGCCTCCAGATACGTATGCACCCAGTTTGAAGACCATGGGTCTAGGGAAGCCTTGTAAGGGTACGGACCCTGAGCTTGATGACCGAAATATCCATGATAGAGGCTAAAGAACTTTGAGCCTTACCTAATACCAGATTCTCTGTACACTTTCTCTTTCCTTTCCCTTCTGGTCTTAATCTTTCTTCCTAGCTCTGCGCAGTCTTTTTTCTATTTAAAGCCCGGCCCCAAACTAGGGCAGTGTCTCAGTGACTGTCATTCCACAGAGCTCCTCTTACCTGTGCAGAAGGTTAGGTTTTTTGGACATTGGCTTGTCAGACAGAAATATAGAGAAATTGTATCTCAGCTCTTGTTAAAAGGGTTCATTCTCTTTGATTCCCAGGAAATCGAGGCATATGTAGAGTCAGGATCTAGCATGACGACATCTCATCCCTTCTCATCTTGTTGTGCTTTGCATAAGAGAAGCTTTGTGAAAAGTTCCAAATTTTTATAGCATCAGGGCCTCTTGTTCTGTTAAGTAGCACAGGAAAGTAATTAGAAACGGAGGCAACGTGTCCTGCCTGGCCTGCCAGGCCCATCCCATCCCATTGTGATTCTAGTTATTTGTGTTAGGATAACTCGAACACTGTGACCCCAATTTTTTATTTTTTTATGGTCTACCTTTTAATACTTCTTTAAAGCAGAATTAAAGATCTTATGTTGAAAAACTACTTATTTTGTCCTGTAACTTGAAGGATATTATGTGTGTGTATCTCAACTGAATTTTAAATTCTATTTCTCCTCTCATAGGTGTTATTAAAAGTTGTCTTTGTAACTTTATACTATTTTTTATACTAAATTTTTTAGGGATCATGAAAGAGCCAAGTTTTATTTCAAAAAGAAGAGTCCCTTATCATGACACGCAGATTTCAAAATCTCTTGAGTGGAATGGAACTATCTCAGGGAATGATGTGGTTGTATCACCAGAACCTGGAGCCCCAGAAACACCAGAAGCACAAGAGGCAGAACTAAAAGATGTTAACCAAGAAAGAGTTCTTACACTAGAAGCCTCCAGGGTTCCCAAGAGAAGCAGATCTCACTCTGTAGACTCCAAAGCCGAAGGGGCTTCAGATATTGTGGGAAATTATGAAGATGTAATAGCAAACCATATGCCAGTTAATAATAAAAATGTGGAACTGGAAAATTCTACCAAGCTTCTTCCAGAAGATGCAGATAATGGGGTAGGTATAGTCATTGTATTTCTTTTCAAAAGCATGGAACATTTTGTAGATTTGTCATTTCAGTAATATTACATTTTGTGCTTAAAATTTTTCCATTGTTTTCTTATGTAACATCTTACAGAATAGTCGATAAGACGCTGTTGACTTTAGTTACTATGAATCAGTTCTATTCTTAATAGCCACTATTTTGTACTTGTTATACTAAGATATCCCTTCCTTGGATGGACAGCCTGTCTTTGGATTTTATTCATCATCTATCAGCTCCTGAATCCTAAGGGAGAGATCAAGTTGAGAGAGAGAAGGGGAGTAGGCCATTACCTCTGGCAGGAGTGGAGAGCTGACTTCTACCAAGGCCATTTTCAATTTCTTACTGTATAAACAAACAGAATCTTGATTGGCAAAATGCAAAAGGAAGGAGAGTCCTGGCTGGATCTCAAAGATCTTTCAGTTCTGTTCTCTTATGTCACCCCCAGCCTGTGGAAGGTCCCTGTGAGCACATAAGCATAGGCTGCAGGGACCTGTCCAGATTCACCACCTCCCACACTTTCCTCCACTCCACTACTTTTCCCCCATTTCATGTACTCCGCTGATTGGAACCACGGAGAGGTGTTTAGGAGTGTTGGAGAAGAATCTGTTGTTTGTTTTGAAATCCAGGGGCACAGTAGACTCTTATAAGAAGGTGATGTGTAAGTCTGGTGGGCAGGGGAAGGGGTGACCCAGAAGCAGTGTGGGGGTAAAACAAGGGGTTGTTGCTTTTTAGTAATAGATTTAATTATGAATGAGAGGTCGGAAAGAGTTGAGAGATGTTATCCTTTTCTGAGATACACAATAATTCCTTGACAGTATTGACAGGAATTTTGAATAGTTTGACAATTTGAAAGGGACATTATCAGTTGAAAATGTTTGCTGTACATCTTATGCATATAGTTAATAATACTGTACAGTACACTTAAAATTTGTTAAGAGGGTAGATTTCATGTTACATGTTTTTTACCACAGTAAGAGAAGTTTGAATAGAAATTTTTAATGACTGAGTGAGATTCTTTTTTTCCCCCGGCAGTTGGATAGAGTTCTGCGGAAGAAAGCTGGATTAACTGTTGTTCCTTCACATAATATCTTGAGAAATTCTGAATATCAAAGGCAGTTTGTTTGGAAGACCCCTAAAGAAACTGCTCCAGTTTTTGCAGCCAATCAGGTAGTTTAATGGATGTAGTATGTTTTTTAAGTATTGTTATTTGATCTAGTGATGCAGATTTAGATAGAACTAAGAGCTGAAAGAAATCAGATACTTAAGAAGTCCTGGAGGTAGGTTCTAGAAAAGTGCAAATGAGAGTTTTGCTAAAGCCATTCCATTATTTCTGATTTATAGCAGTGATATTATACTGTCCTAGACTACTGATGACCATTGTTGCCAGGTCCATCACATATATTAAGTATGACACAAGGTAATGAAAACTAGGGACTGGTAAGTTTTTGCATGCTGTGAATTTTTTAAAATTAAAAACTATTAAATTGGTTTTATTCTGTATTGTTACATTTTTTAAATTAATATATTGCATATTTTCTGTTTCCTAAGACAGGTATAACTGCTTTGGATATTTTAATCATTCAAAATAAGTTGAAAGTAACATAAGATACCTAAATGTGTCCTTATATCAGATGAACAGTAATAACAATTGTCAGTTTAACTATATTTATAACATTCAAAAGCTGTAATGATAACTAAGTGTGATGTTACACCCTTGCATAACATTTGGCATTAGACCACCATTACGAGTCCATACTCTGTGTTGTACTGGCCTAGACAGTTCTGAGGCTCTTAACTGCCCTTATGTTCCTAACCATATTTTAGGCCTAGGTAGGAAATGTTTCCATTTAGAATATCCCCTGATATGGCTCACAAGTTTTCTTGGCTAGTAGGTGCACCTACAAAATTACTTTACAACTTGAAAATTATGATGATTTAGTTTTCATACAGCATTTCACCTTTAAGCCAGAGCTGATTCAAATCAAAGCTCCACTGACAGTTTTACATAATTCAGTGAAAGCATTATATAGAAATGGTTTTTATAGGACCAAATGTACAATATAAAATAAGTTCTAGCAATACCTTCACTAGTAGTTTTATTGCTTTCATTAGTGAGGGTTTCAAATAATTTTTGGGGGAAGCAAGTGCTCTTTGTTAGTTCAAAGCACATTAATTCCAGGATCTGTGGATTGAAGAGTTCTGTGACTGAAACTTTCAATGCTTATTGATGGGGGAACTGCGGAAGGAGCCATTCCATGCTATTTTATCAGACACCTCTTTTTTGAAAGGATATCTTATATTAATGTGCAGAGGAGTCAGAACGGTTTTTGGCAGAGAAGTCCTTGCGGTTGGACTGTACTGAGAAAGATACACTGTTTGGGTTTGGTATGTATGAAGATGTACTCTTCAGTTATAAAGCACTAGTACACCTTATTTGAGCTCCATATCTTTTCCATTTTCTTTCCTTGTAATCAGTGGTAATATGCCATAAAATGGACACCATATTATGAAGTACTAAGGATAAAAGGAAACATTTAAAAATAAAAGCATAATATGTGATTCTTTGCTTTAAGCTAAAAATAAGAAAAGAAAACACTGGACAAATTAACATGTCAGATACTCAAAATGTTAAGGATTTCCTTTTGTTGGAGAAAGAAAAATAATTCATATCAAGGAGGGAGAAAACCTGTAGAGCTGACAAGAGAATTGCCTTAGAAAGCTAATGTCTATGTTCATATTATTAAAATATGCCTATGTACTTATCCTGTTACTAAACTGATGGGAGGGAAGGGTAGGAAACTTTGGGGAGCAAAGATATATAGCTTAAGTTTTTGGCTTAAGCATTATTTTGTTATAATGAAAATTATTCAAAGCATAGTTATGAGTATAGAAAGCTGACCTTTGTTTTTTTTTCCAGCTTTATTTAAGTATATTTGACAAATGAAAATGATGTATTTATGCTGTACAACATGATATTGATATACACACACATTGTGAAATGATTAACACAATCAAGCTAATTAACACATATATCACCTCAGTTACCTTTTATTTTTGTGGTGAGAACACTTAAGATGTACCCTCTTAGCAAATTTCAAGTAAATAATACAGTATTATTAACTGTAGTCACCATGCTGTTCTTGAACTCTCCATAACTTACTTATCTTGCATTACTGAAACTTGGTACTCTTTGATCAACATCTCCCCATTTCTCTCACCCCTTATTCCCTGGCAACCACCATTCTAAGTCTGTGCTTCTGTGAATTCAACTTTTTTGGATTGCACTGTCTTTCTGTGCCTGATTTATTTCACTTACCACATGTTCTCTGGATTCATCAGTGTTGTTGTAAATGACAGGACTTCCTTTTTAAGGTTGAATAATATTCCATTACACACACACACACACACACACACACACACACACACACACACACACACATTTTCTTTATTCATTCATCCATTGATAGACATGTAGGCTGATTTCATATCTTGGCTATTGTGAATAATGCAGAATCTTTGAGATCCTGATTTCATTTCCTTTGGACATACCAAGAAGTAGGATTGCTAAATCCTATGGTAGTTCTGTTTTTAATTTTTCAAGACACTTCTGTACTGTTTTCCAGTTTAAATTCCTACCAGCAATATACAGGGGTTCCCTTTTCTTCACATGCTTGCCAATATTTGTTATCTTTGTATTTTTGATAATAGCTACTCTAACAGGTGTGAGGTGGCATCTCATTGTGGTTTTGATTTACATTTCTCAGATGATAGTGATGTTGAGCATCTGTTGGCCATTTGTATGTCTTCTTTGGGAAATACCTATTCAGTTCCTCTGCCCATTTTTTAGAATAAATTGTTTGCTCTTCTTTTGAGTTCTTTATTATTTTGGATTTAACCTCTTATTAGGTATGTTATCTGCAAATGTTTCCTCCCATTCTGTATGTTGCCTTTTCATTTTGTTGATGGTTTTCTTTACTGTGAGAAGCCTTTTAGTTTGATGTATTCCCACTTGTTTATTTTTGCTGTTGTTGCCTTTGCTTTTGGGGTTAAATTAAAAAAATCATTGCCAAGACCAACATCAAGGAGCTTACTGCCTATATTTTCTTCCAGGAATTTAATAGTTTCAGGTCTTACATTCAAGTCTTTAATCCATTCTGAGTTGATTTTTGTGTGTGATGTAAGGTAGTGGTCATTTCTCTTGCATGTGGCTGTCCAGTTTTCCCAACATGATTTATTAAAAAGACTGTGCTTTCTCTGTATTCTCAGCACCTTTGTCATAAATTAACTGAGCATATATGCATGGGTTTATTTCTGGGCACTGTATTCTGTCCCATTAAACTGTGTGTCTGTTTTTATGCCCCTTTGCTCATTTTTAAAATTAGGTTGTTTTCTTGGTATTGAGTTGTTTGAGCTACCTTTATAATTTCAATATTAACCCCTTAACAGATGTATGGATAGCATTTTTTCCCATTCCATAAGTTGTCTCTTATATACTTTTGATTATTTTCTTTGCTGTATGGAAACTTTTAGTTTGATGCAATCCCATTTGTCTATTTTTGCTTTTGTTGTCTTTTGGATGTTTATTAGACATAAATAAAATTACAAACAGCCATATATGATTTTGTTTTTTTGTATCCTGTAATTCAACCTTAAACGTGAAAAATTTTAAGCAATTGATGAACTAAGTTCTGTATCTTTAACCAACAAAGAAGCTAAATTAAGTTAATTTTTGTTTTAAGGTCTTCCACAATAAAAGCAAATTTGTTCCACAATTCAAAGGTAACTCAATCATCCATGAAACTGAATACAAAAGAAATTTCAAGGGTTTATCTCCGGTGAAAGAACCAAAATTAAGAAATGATTTGAAAGAGAATGGAAATTTTGAAACATCTCCTGAAAAGAAGGTATTTGTCAACTCTTAACTTTAAACAAAATAAAATTCTCATGATTTTAGACTCTATACATTTTCTTTCATTTACCACCACTTGAGATTTGTTTTTAGCTAGTTTATTAGTTCACTTGTTTGTTCATGAAATGTCAGATATTCATTGAGCATTTAGTAAGAGCCAGGCACTGGGTAGGTACTGAGAATATAATGATAACCTCACTAAGCCCTAAGGAGCTCGTGGGTTAGTGGGGAGACAGGTGTGAATAACTCGATGTAATACTGTGCTGAATGCTTAGCAGTACAGTATGGTAAGTCTATTATGTCTTGTATCATGATTGGCCTTACAGTAATGTGAGCTTCAGGGGTAGTAGTAGTGATAGAAACACATACTCTAAATTAAAGAAACAATTGAAATCAAACACAGAAACACATACACACATGTATTTTAAACCAAAGTTTAAGCATGCCAAATTGTAGCCAGTATAATACACATAATTTACCCCAGGGTATACCTAACCTGCTTCTCTGTGAGATTATGGCTGTTTCACACAGTAGCTATTAAGTTGCAGCATCAGGTTAAAATGATAAATTGTAGGTAAGTTGGTGTAAGTCCATTTTTTTTGATCCTCAGGAATATCATACCTGATGCTTTATGGATTTTAAAAATAGAAATTATATTACTAAAAATAAAATGATTTATATATTTATTTATTGGGCCTGTGTTCTGAGGGAGAAAAGAAAGAGTTGTTATTCAGTACAACAATGTGTTTACTGACTTATTGGGATATTACACTTAATTACATAACACAATTAAATGTAAATTTAGAATATCAAGGGCAAATGTAAGACCACTCTTCAGTAGGTAGTAGCCTCAAGTTTATTTCTTTAGATTTTTGTTAATTTAAAAATATTTTTTCCTAGCCAAGGATCTAAGATTTTTTTTATTGTTAGAAAATGCAACTATATCCTGAGCTATACTTCAAAAAACTAACCAGATGTACTAGTTTCAAAACTTGCCTGTTGATTTCTTGTGATTTCTACAGTGTCTTTAGTCATCAAGACTTACTTCCAAAAACAGAATTGTAATACACTATCTAAGTATACTTGTAACATCTATGTTTTTACTTTAATGAGTAACATTTTAAGCATAAAATGTTTAAATTATTTTTATTTTAGTGTAATAAAACAGATGACCCTTTAAAACTAGAAGCAGAGATGCAAGCAAAAGACTCAAACCAGCCTAAAAAGAAGCTTACTCCTTGGAGACATCAAAGGCTTGGGTATGTATATTATAAGAAAAATATGGTGTTTAGATGATCAACATGGTGAAATATTTACTCTCATTTCATTTCTATTAGGAAAGTGAATTCTGAATACAGAGCAAAATTTCTGAGCCCAGACCAGTATTTATATAAAGCTGGGGCTTGGACACGTGTGAAGGAAAATGTACCAAATCAGGTGAGTGTACATAAGCCCAGTAGCCCATTGAGCCTCTATCATAGTTTATCACAATGAGTTTCATTTAGTAATAGAGATTACAGTTTAAAGATGTGTGATACAATAGCACTAAAAGTTCCAGAAACTTGAAGTTGTATGTATTAGGATATAATCTATCAGTGTGCTTTTTATATCAACTAATTCCTTAAAGATTAATATTATTACTATTAAGATATTTAAAGTTATAAATGTTTTCATTATGTTAATGAGACTCAGTTTATAGAATTATAGCATTATAGATTTTTTTTGTGACATCCACATCTCTACTCTCCCAATTGAAGATTAATTTTCACAATCAGTTTATCTGCCAGTGGCACACACTGTGAGTGTGTACTAGTATAGTCCATAGGTATAAGGAAGGAGTGGCCTGTACTGATAGAGGTTTCAGTTACAGTGTTGGGGTACCCTGACATATGGGAGAAATTCTGAGGATCCTAAAGAAAGATTTGAGGGAAAGGGTGATCTAGAATTGGGAAGTGCTAGTTTAGTCCTGGCTTCTTATAGTTAAAGGATAAACAGTGGAGCTTGTTTGCTTATTGTATAATTAACGTCTTTGAAACCATATCTTGGTGGTTTTGTGTGTGAATGAGATAAATTAAAACATTTTAGTTTAGATTATTCATTAATAAACACTCCTTCCCCCATCATTGTAAACAGAGTGATAATCTGGATGGGGAAGGAATCTTTTATTTGCCCCATGCTTTAAAGCATGGCTAACAATTACACCTAATCAGCCTCTGGGGCGAGGCATTGGCACTCTAAGCTACTGGCTCTTTGCACTGGCAGCTCCCAGACCTATGTCCTGGCAAGACTCCTGTGTTCCACATGCTGTTTGAGGGAGTTACTAGGTGCTCTCTCCTTCCCTACTTGAGCATGGCTCAGAGGCAGTACAGGCAAAGTTTAAAGGCAAAGCTCAAAGCTGTCCCAGATATTACTGGGGGAAAAATACATCCATCCACCTTAGTGAAATCAAATTAAAAATATAGCATTGAGTGCAGCCATGTGGGAAGAAAGGAATTGAGTCAGTTGAACTCCTGAGCTGTTTATGACCATGCTAGACATTGACAAAGAACTCTGAGGAGTCTGATGGGGATTGAGGGAAAGCTAGGGTCCTAGGCAGGATTTAAAGGCAAAGCTCAAAGCTGTCCCAGATATTACTGGGGGAAAAATACATCCATCCACCTTAGTGAAATCAAATTAAAAATATAGCATTGAGTGCAGCCATGTGGGAAGAAAGGAATTGAGTCAGTTGAACTCCTGAGCTGTTTATGACCATGCTAGACATTGACAAAGAACTCTGAGGAGTCTGATGGGGATTGAGGGAAAGCTAGGGTCCTAGGCAGGGAACTGTATGGTCAGTTAATAGGTGTCAGCCTGTTGTGTTTAGGTGTTTCACTAGGCTGGGTTTTGGAAAGATTATCCCTTTTGTCTCTGAGACTGCCTAAAACTAATGTGAGTCAGTATTGAGGCTTTAGGTCTAAACATTTAGTGGATTGTTATGTCTGAAGTCATGATATGGTGACAGTCCTTATCCTGCTGTGATGAAAGAACAGTTTTGTTGTTAATTTAAGACCTGTCTTTTCAAGGTTACCTATTATGATATCTTGGTAAGGTGACATTTTTTAGGGTTTTGTTTTACTAATTGCTGTTGGTGGTTGTAAATATTTATTTCAGTGGTATAGTTTGCTTTAACCTCTATGGGCCAAGTAACTGAAAAAGTAAATAGGAGTTAGAAAAGAATAAGAAATGTTTGCTAAGAGGATAGTGATCACTGATGGTGATAACAGTTTTAACTGACCAGGTCACAGATATTTAATATGGGCCATGTTTGACATAAATTTTAGATTTTTATTTTATTAGAAGACATTTACCATACATGGCAGCTTATGAAGTATCTAAATATGTTACTCCCTTATTTTCCCACTATTAACATTTCATGAAGAAATATTACTCAAACTCTTCAAATGCACTTTGAATCATTACAGTTTTCTAGTCATATATAATCTTCATTTCCTTCTATGTTGTTTGAAATTTTATACTTTTTGAATATATTTAAAGTCTAGTCACTGGTTATTTTATCGTAAGACCCAAGAACTATTGACATAACAGTATGGTTATTGGTTTTATTTGTCCAGTGGTTGTATATTTGTTGTCTCCAACATTCAACCACTGGCACTTTTGCTTTTTTTAAATGCTCACTTAAAGAATTGTTTTTAATAATAACCAGCAATTGTAATTGTTAGGTCCCATCCTCAAAATAACTACTGAATCTGTTAAATTAAAATTTTTGATTGTTAGGTCATCTTTTGCTCATACAAACTACATTAGTTGAGATAATTTCTTTAATGTGTCTTCTACAAATATGACTTTATTTAAAGATAAAGTCCCAAATTTGAGAGACATCCTTTATATAGCTTGATAGACATTGAAAGAATCGCTGGATTATTAGCTGACTCCTCACATTGGAGGGATGATTTTTGGGAAAAATGAGTTTGTATTTTAACCCCCTAGTTTTCTGAGTTTGGATTTTGTGCATATAAATTTTAAATGACTTAGTTGAATTTTTAGTTTGGGGAAAGAAATTCAGAAATGAAAAGATTATACTTACAACATTTATATCATATAATCTGATGGCATTACTTTACCTGGAAAGCGGTGTGTGCATGTTGTTCCAGTTGAGTTTGGAATGGTTTATTCATATCCCTTCAGTGGCCCAGTTGTTGGCTGTAGGGACTGCTGTTAATATTGAGTTCACACCATCAATTTTCTCTCTTTTTAGTAGAACACCTTACTTTGGGAAATATCAACCTACTCTTTTTTCATCTTAGCTTAAGATTAGAAGTTTAAAATTATGTATTTTTAAACACAATGTTAGCACTAAGATCATTCAAGATTGCTCATAAAGTAAATTTAAAACATTGGGTTTTGAATGTCAGTAACAAATAGAACTGAATAAACTAAGGCTTTACAGAATTTTTCTAAGTTCTCCTCTCCCTCCTTTTAAAAATATTAGTGTCATATAAAAGTGGGTACTGTGCCCGTGGAGGGATAGTCACTCACTGTCTTGTTCATTGAGCCATAAGGTTCTCCTGCATGGGTGGAATGCAGTCTTCTCTGCTGCTTCTTCCTACTCCACCCTACACATGGTGCAGGACTGATAGACTCCCCTTTGGGACCATGTTTTCCAACTTTTTCTCATTCACTTGTTATAGCATGGACCAAACCAATAATATTATGATAATAATTTATCACAGAGGGGAGGCCAGCCTGCTCTATCAGTCTGTGAGCATGTGGAGTGCTGCAGGGACCTTATTGCTCATCTTTGGCTCTCATCTGTCTAGCTCAGGCCTAGCACTTGGTCCACACTCAGGGTAGGTTGTGGAGTCAGTGTTTAATTTAAACATTCTTCTTCACCTTAAGGGGTTCCTAGGTTAACGGAGGAGAACGACAAGGGCAATTAATTGCAGTAAAATGAAGTATGTACTAATGGGGATGTGCACAGAGGACTTTGAGAACAGAGGAGGAAGTGACACTAAGGCTTGAGATTTTATCATGGAGGTGATGGGGTAGCCACGAAACATTTGAAACATGGGAAGACTTATTAGAATTAAAATCTGGATTATATCAAGGCGCTTTATAACAAGACTTCTGTGCATTCAGAATACTCTGCTCAGTAGTATAGTAGTATAGCAGACTCAACCCGTGTGTCTCAGTTTTTCCTGTTAAGTGGGAAAACCACTACTCATACTTTTCTTTAAAGTATAGGAATTAATGAAAATGATAAATGAACATGGCTACCTTTTTTGACAGTGAAGAAAACAATATTGGAAATTGTCCTTTAGGAATGTTTCAGGTTTGGTTAAAGCAGTAGGACTCTGCTGGAGTTATATGGTTTCTCAGGCCACCACGGCAGGTGGTGTCCTTTGCTTGGCCCAATTCCTTACAGTTGTAGCATTTTCATCCCTTTGCATTCAGTAACATCTCCTTTAGGAGCTGAGGATGTTTCTCCAACTGCTTTTGCGATGCCAACTTTCATTATTTGCTTATTTGCCTTTAAGTGAAAGAAAAGCAGTTTTAGCAGAAGTATCTGAATGTCCTTTTAATGTTAATATTCTGTCTTTATGATAGGAAAAATTATGGAGGTTTTCAAGCATAGTAAAGATAATTTTAAACTGCATTTTAAATTACAACTTAATTTTTTTAACATTGTGGAATTGTAGTTAGGGAAGCCAGCAGGTGGCAGTATGAAGTATAAAATGAAACGTTTTCAAAGAAAATAAAGGCTCCTTTTCATAAGATAATATGTTATTTGCATATTAGGAAATTCAAATCGTATAGTTCATCAGAACATTTTTTTATATTCTCATTTTGTTGGATATATTGTAATTGTTATTTTGTGGGATATTCTTTTAAATTATATACACAGTTTTAAAAAGTTGAGGCGTTCCTGATGCCAAGGGAATGTTGAGGAATTTGGAGGGGAAGCCTCTAAACTCTCTCAGTGAGGGTTTCTGTAGTAGCAGCAGCTGTATATAAAGCACAGAAGTAAAGGTTGGGTGGGCTAGGGCTCTCTGACATGTCACATGTCTTCCAGAGATGGGGAAATAGGAATAGTAATTAGGTTACCTGTCACTGATAGCATCTCAGCCATGTAGGAATATAACTGGTTTTTAAGATAATCTTGGCTACTGAATTACATCTTACCAAAAATACTAAAAAAATATTGAAATATTGACTTTCAAGTTTGGTGTATATTTAGAAGGAAGAATAATAAGATATTTCATTGATTCCCATTAGTATTCAATATGGCATTAACCTGTCATTAAGTATGTTTCTGTATTCCTCCCCTAGGGTTCTCTAAATGCCATGTGGTATGCGGAGGTTGGTTGCTTTTGAGTTTTTAAAACCTGTAATACGCATAGAGTACTTGTGATATTTCAGTTGAAATAAGAAGTAGGTGTATTTTTCTTAGCTGCTACACATTTCTCCCTGCCTGCTAGCCTGAAATAAAATAACTGCATTTGCTTTAGCTTGACTGTTTTAATTTCTGCTTTAAAATGCACAATAGTCTGATGAAAGTATGTGGCTATTTTTGCCTCCTCTCTCCTTGGTCTTTGGCTGTCTTTGTGCAATGTCTTTGATATGCTCCTTGGTGATATTTCAAAGGAGGATTTTCAGTAATATTTGGTGTCTGAACTCTCCTGTAGGTTAAAGAACTCCGAGAGAAGGCTGAGTTTTATAGGAAACGAGTTCAGGGAACACATTTTTCTCGGGACCACCTGAATCAGATTCTGTCTGATAATAACTGCTGTTGGGATGTCTCCTCTACCACAAGCTCGGAAGGAACCATTAGTAGCAACATTAGAGCTCTAGATCTTGCTGGGTGAGACGCTCTTTGTGGGTGGTGAGAAAGTATGTTGTAGCTTATGCAGAACATGGAATTAAAGGAAAATGTCATGACTACTCAAAATTATCTTCTAGTCAAATGGAGATATGTCAGCCATTTATTATGCTTTATTTCTATTTAATCTCTGTGAAAAGTAAGGCTGTACATACTTGTTTTATATTGTGTATAACTAATACATAATATAAATCTAGAAGATGGAGTTTTATAATATTCCCTGTTAGCACTTAAAGTAGAATAGACATAACTATAGAACATGTAGAAAAGGAAGAAAGACAACAACAAGAACTTAAGAAATAAGCTGTTAGTACATACCCATTATCATTCTTTAATGGATTTTGTGGTTAATATGGAAATTAGACCCTGATTCTATGGGAGAATTCTCTGCTGTTTTGGGTTTTAAAGTGATCATGATTTAAGTTTTTATAAGAGAAATAACACATTGATTTATAGCAAATAATTTTTAGTTGTTATAGTATATTAGTGTAGTCATACTGTATATCAAATGAACTATAAATACTAATTATGTGACATCTGATTTAAAAAATTCATCACAAAACCTGGTCTTTAACAGTATCTTGAAAAGATTAACTTGCCTAAAGTGTAAAATTTAAATCAGCTTCCTTAATCCACAAGTATACTTGATTTTGTATATAAACCCTAATGGAGTAATTGAATAGTTCAGACCATGTGGGTTCCTGTTTATGTGTAAAATTGCTGGCTTAAGAGATACGATGATTTTTGTTAGCAGTGGTGCAGGTGTGTATGTGTGAAGATAGGAGTGAGAGGAGATAAATATATTTTATTTTGGAATATTTTGATATGAACTCCCAACTGCAACTTTATTATACTGTCGAATGAACTCCTAGCAAGATTTCTTTCTTCAGTATCTGGGGAGGTAATATCTGTGGGAAACATAGTTGTTAACTACAGAATGATGAACTTACTCTAGTATAACTAGAAATCTTCAAACTACTCAACTTTAAAACTTATCTTGGTATGCAGAGATCCTACAAGCCATAAAACTTTGCACAAATGTCCTCCTACAAAACAAGAGGACCAAAGGCCTATCTTGGAAGAGCAGCCCCGGAAGAGTACCACGGAGAAACTGGGCGTGTCAGATGCACCCCCCACACCTGTTAGAAGGCGTCTGGCTTGGGACGTGGAGAACACCAATGAAGACGTGGAGAAACAGCCAGGAGAGGAGGAGGAGGAGGGAAGGGAGAGGGACAAGCAGGTTTATACAGAAGAGCTAGAGAAGCTGGAAGTACAGGAGAAGTCTAAGGCAGACAAGATTAAAGAAGGGTGAGAGTTTTAAATTAATCAGTGCATAGGGGCAGTATTGTATGTTATGAATGTGTATTTTGTCACTAAGAATAGTGGTTTACACTATTGGTTTATGACTAATAAAGAGCAGATTTTACTTTAATGTCATGAAGTAGGCATTTCTTTATGGTTTATATTTGAGTCACCAGTGTTTGGTAATTAAACACTTGAACACTGAGCTACTTAGGGAGCAAGGAGTTAGAGTTATTTTCATTTGTGTCCTGAGAATTATGATTTGCTTAGTTTGTAAATGTGTCTGGAAGGATGACTTTCTTCATGGTTTGAGGAAAATAGCTGGTATTTTTTAGTATTAGATGGTTATACCAAAAACGGAAGAAAAGATAATGTTTTGTGTTCAAATAAGTGATTTCTGCAACTACCTAATTCCTGTTGATTTATATGCAACATGCTTTGGGAAGTGGTTCTCTACCATTGGTAGTTGTGCTTTCTGTCCACACCTTATCATTCATTCCTGAGTTTTGCAGCTAATGTGAAACTTAGGTGCTGATTTAGTGGAAGAAAGCTCTCCTAAGCTGTGGCTGACTTGCAGTGATCTTCCCTCCTTTCCAGCATTTGGTCACTTCTAACTGCATGTGGATTTATTCTTTTTTTCCAAAACACAATGGCCTTATAAGTTCTATATTTAATTATTGCACAGTGATGGCAAAGTGTTTTCAATCATATTTTTTGGAGGAAATGCCTCATGAAAGATTGGTCTAATTTACAGGTCGGATTCTTCTTCTGTATCTTCAGGAAAAGGAGGCAGGCTTCCTACTCCGAAGCTGAGAGAACTGGGTGGAATCCAACGGACTCATCATGATCTCACCACTCCAGCTGTTGGTAATAAGCAAACACTGGACAGTCTTAATGTCTCCTGCTTGTCTACATGATTATTTAGTTTAACTGAAACTTGTCACCTCTACGTTCTCCAGGTGGCGCTGTGTTAGTGTCTCCATCTAAAGTGAAGCCGTCAATCCCAGAACAGAGGAAAAGAGCATCCTGTCAGGATAGCTTAGGAACTGTGAAGAATGATCTTAGGAAGGTAAATATTTATATTTGGGGAAAAAAAATCATCTCTTCAGGAAGTGATTATTTTAGCCACATGAATGAATGGATGATAGGTTTAGATTTTAGAAGATTCTGTGTGTCATATATGGAGAGGGTGCTATGACCCTACTTTTAGTAAGGCAGATATATTGAATTGTTTTTTCTGGTAGTAGCATTGTATTTCTGCTGATAAATTTTCAAATCTTGTCAATGACTCGACAGGAAGAGAGAAGAAAAATACTGTTCATCAAGCACCTCTATGTGGCAATTGTATTCCAACTATGTTCCAGGTACTGTCTTAGCACTGGAGATATAGCAGTGAAAGAAACAGGCAAAGATTTGGGCCCTCATTGAACTTATATCCTAGTGGAGGAAAGAAGCAATAAATAGGATAACAAGGTAAAACAGATAGTGATAAGTACTCAGGAGAAAAATAAAGCAGGGAGGTGAATAGGAAGTAACGAAGGAAGTTCTCACTGAGAGAGTGGCATTTGAGCAGAACCTGAAGTTCATGAGGGACTGACCCATATGTATTTCGAGAAAGCATTCTAGGCAAAAACAAGTGCAAAGTCCCCGAGGTGAGGGGATACCTAATGCTGAAGACCAGCCGAAACGTCAGTGTGGCTGGAGCAGAGAGCAAGAGAGGGAGAACAGTATGGGCAATGGGTGCAGGTGCATAATTGCAAGCTAGGTTGTGTCTAGGTCATAGCAAAGACTTTGAATTTTATTCTGAGCAGAATGGGAAGCCTTTGGAGGGGCAGAGGTTTTACCAAGGTCACTCGAGGTACTATGTTGGGAATAGACAGTAGGATGCAGGAGCAGAGGCATGAAACTAGGCTGGAGTGAAATACAGTATCCAGGCAAGAAATAATGGTTGTTCGGATCATAGCAGTAGCAGTGGAGGTCATGTAATGAAATGCAATTCTGGATACACATTGGAAATGTAGCTGAAAATATTTGCTGATGAAAAAGATATGGGGTGTGAGAAAAAAGAGAATTAAGGATGACTCAGAATTTTTGGCCTGAGTCATAAGGATGGAGTTGCCATTTAATTGAGACAGGGACAACAGAGTGAGGGAAAGATTTGTTGGAAAAGTGAGAGTTCTGTTTTAGGCTCTTTCAGTATGAGAAGCTTATTAGATATACGAGTAGACATGTTGAGTGGAGAGGACTTTGTGAGTGTGGAGTGTAGAGTGGTTGGGCTGCAGCTGTAGGTCATGTAGGTGGTACAGGTATGGAAGGTGTTGAGCCTGGAGGAGCTCCTTAAGGGAGCGGCTATAGCTAGAAGAGAATGGGTGAGGACAGGTCCAAGCCCCAGGTTTTTGATACTGGGAAGCTGAGGAGTAACCAGCAAAGAGATTGATGATGAACAGTCAGTGAGGTGGTGGAAAACAGGAGACTGTTGTATCCTGAAAGTGTCAAGAACGGGGTGTGCAGTGCTGCTGATGGGTCAGTAAGGGAAGAGGATTGATGACTGGATTCAGCAGCCGGGAGGTTATCGGTAGCCCGGACAACGGGCAGTTTTGGTCGTGGGGTGGGACAAAAGCCTGGGTGCAAGTGAGTTCCAGAGGAAGGGGAGGAGGGCCTGGGGACAGCCGCCAGGGAATCAGCTCGGGAGATTTTCCCATGAAGGGGAGCAGAGGAATGGAGTGGGTGCTGCCAATGAAATAGAGGAAGATGTGGCAGGAGCCTTGGCAGAGTCTCTTCCGATGGCTTCTTGGTAGTATAAGAAGAGCGATCCATGCTGAGAATGAGCTGGGCAAGAAAACGTTGGTTTGAGTAAAGATAAGGAGGCATGAAATAGTGGTTTCAGAGGGTAGGAGAGTGAGTGGGTGAGGGAAATGTAAGCTAGTGTAGGGCAACCTTAAGGGCCTGTTTGAGGTTAGTGGTCACAAGTTTGATGTAAGACCTGTCAGGATGGGTCATGTGTTTTTCTCCAGCCACATCTGGCTGCAGAGTTAGTTGCAGGATTGGTGGACAGCTGGATTTAACTAAGGTTCATGTTTTGTCAAGGGAGTAAGGCAAAGTGAGAGGGGGTCAGGGAGTTAAGGTGTATGCAGGGAAGTGCTTATAATGACCGGCATAGAAGTCGAGTTGGTCAGAGAGGGAAACTAGGATTTGAGAAGGTAAGCTACAGTGCAAAGATGACAGGATCAATGAGTGGAAGGACTGGCAGACTTAAGGACTTGCTGGAATTGGTGGTGGTAGGAGGTGGTAGTCAGAAATTGAGATTATGGAGAGATTGCAGTTACCAGTAATGAGAAGGCTTAACATACCATCATGGGAGTAAGTGGCTATTGTGGTTAAAGAGCATGCAGGGAAGAGGTTCTTTAAGGGCATTTTGCTGAAGGCTGTGCATGAGTTCTAGAGGGCACAGTGGAGTTCCAGGTGTTCCAGAGATGGGAAATGGGATCAGTACCCCCCACCAAACCCTAGGACTTAGAACACAGCTCAGCTCATAGCAAGTACCCATTAAGTTGTGTTGAATGCCATTGGAGTGGTAGAGTACCTAAACTATTTTTCATTGCTTATATATACATGGGCTTATGAAAGGAAATGTAGGAATACAGTTGTAGGATTGATCAAAATCAGATGTTAGGAGTCTCCTGCCCCCATGGACTGTTCTGACCCCTTGTCAGGCCATCCAGGCTGCCACCTGGAAGGGGTGAGCCTTTAACTCAGCTTTGCCCACAGGGCTGACTACCCTTGTCTGGAATGAATAGCTTTAATCCATTTTTGCATCTGCATTTATATGTATTATTTTCATCTATTGTGGCATTAATTTATTGATTAAATAAGTTAGAATGAACTCAGATTTTATATTATAAATATGACAAAAATATATGCATTTTACTAAATTAATTAGAATAATATTGTCCTTTAATATTTTAATGCCAACTTCTACCTCATAGTGCACATAATACAGTTGAAACATTTTAATTATGAACTCCTTTATAGTAAGAAGGTTTCTTTTTAGCAGTTTAATCGGAACTCCTTCCATGTGGATTTTCTGCCACCAGCACTACCAGGGACAGTGCCAGGGAGCTGGCCTTGGTTATTTCTCTTTGTCTACCCCTTGGTTGCTGGTAGGCATAGTCTCATTAAACTTGATATGCACAATGATTTTTCCCCTTGCTTTCTTACAAGAGCTAATAAAGTAAAATTAAATCCATAGTCATTCAATTCCCAGTAAATTATTACCATTATTCACTTGCCCTTGATTAATAACACTCTCCATCTTTTTTCACCACAGGAATAAGGGAGAATATGTTATCATAATATCCAGAAATCTTTTTCACTATTGTTTTAATGACATACCTTGAATTGTGAAAAATTATGGGGCAGCAACAATTTGGGTAACTTTATGGAGGTGATCATAATAGCTAGCTTTACTGCTGAGCATTTGCTATGTTCTAGGTCCTGTGCTAAGTAAGTACTTTATATATGTTGTTCAGTCTCCATAATGACTCTGGCAGATGATGAAATGGAGGTGACACAGCTGCCAAATAGTGGAGTAGAATTTGGCCCCCGGCAGTCTGTCTTCAGAGCCCACATTTCTTTTTTTTTTTTTTTTTTT